AAATATTTCTTATGGTCAAAAACATTTGTCAAGAGTTTGGTAATTTCTTCAGTATAATTTCTGGGTTTTTTCCCTTTTTGGTTAAAGTAAAATTCAGTTTCATTCATACTTTTGATTAAAAGCAATGTCTAGATGTTATCCAACAGAAATATGACACCAGCAACATATATAATTTTTAATTTTCTAGCCACATGAAAAAGAAAAAATAGGCGGAGATTATAACTCAGTGGTAGAGTACCTGCTTAGCATGCACGAGGTCCTGGGTTCAATTCCCAGTACCTCCACCAAGAAATAAATAAAATAAATAAACCTAGTTACTGCCCCCAATCCAAAAAAAGGAAAAATTAAGAGATAAAATCAATTTTAACAGCATTTTTTATTTAACTCAATATATCCAAAATAATATCATTTTAACATGTAACCAGTATAAGAATCATTAATGAGATTTTTTACATTGTTTTTCATATTATGTCTTTGAAATTCAGTGCGTATACATACACACATCTCAATTCAGACCACACTGATTTCAAGAGCTCAACAGCCATACGGTACCAAAAAGGACAGTACAGATCTAGAGTATGATCCTATTTTTATAAAACTCTTTGCTTAGTGATCTATTCTTCCAACTATACACACAGAGAGATCTGTCATGCTGTTCACCTGATATTAACAACAGAGACATTTGGATGACAGGATTTGAAGATTTTTTTTTTACCCTTTTTAAAAATACTTTTCTGTGTCGCTTGAATTCATTTTAATGCATGAATTACTTTTGCAAAGTCAATCAAGTTTGAAATTTTGAAAAAATTTCAAAGGGAGCAGAGAGATGCTGGGGCTCTAATCTGAAAGCATCACCCAGGCTAGCCCCTAGAAATGTGTGAAGACTGGTGAAAGGCATTTAACAACAGGTAACAGCACACACCACGCGTTCAATACCGCCAACACCGAGCACTCATTTAAAATGTACCTGTTGGAGGAGTCCTGAATCAGAGTCTAAGACGCAGGCATCAATCAAAATATTCTGAAATGAACATTTCAAAAAATGTTATAGGAATAATAATGACAACCTTATAGTGAAAACCTACTATGTGCCAGACTCTATTCTTAAAACAGCTTATTTAACACACACAGTAACCCTACAAGGTAGATATCTGACTTGCATTTTACAGCTGCAGCGGCCAGGCCTTGGCTGGGCAGTGGTCATAGAGCTGGGGGGGGGTGCGCAGTGCTGCCACCCCTAGTCTACCTGTCCCCAGAGTTCATGGTCTTTTCACTCTATCATGCTGCCACCCCAAGATGGAGAACATTATACAGGCTACAGCAGCATTTTTACTTTAAAACTGAAGTTTTAAGAAAGCTTTTTTTTAAACATATCAGAGAAGAAAACGTGTTAATGATAATTTATCTGAACACTTCAGTTATCTGCAAAGTGAAAACATCAGATCTTTATCAGCTCTCCCTAAAGCAAAGAGACAGAGCAATTGAGTCAAGGTATGCAGCAAATTGTAAAACCCAGGATTCTTAGCCTGGACTAAACAGGGCTGGACTAAACAGGGCTCTAGCCACACAAACCAGGAAACTACACGCAAAACTGCGTTTGAGTGCATGTTTTTCTGGGGACCCAGCAGATTCTCAAGGGTCCAGGACCCAAAATAGAGAAATGACTAGGACAAAACATAGATTCCAGATTCCCAATCCATCATTCAGTCAGACTACCTCTCTAAATTGGTGATTCAAACAATAAAATTAATTCCTTCACTATGAAACTAATATTCTTTAAAAAAAAAAGG